TTACTGGTCCTGGCTGGCTTCTATTCCAGCCCTTTTTTTTTTTTTTTTTTTTCTGATTCTCCATCTCTGGCAGCAGCCCTTGTGCCTTGATTCAGAAACTGCCCTTGTCATATCTGAGTGTCACCCAAGGCCTCAGGTAGTGACCCCTCCTCTGCCATCCTCAGGCCTGGGACAGAGGAGGCCCAGAGAGTCCTCCAGGGAGAGCTGGTCCATTTCAGCACCTCAGAGGGAGAGGGCCAGTGTCCGGGCACCCACTGCCATCTCGGCAACCACCTTGTCCCTAGGTGTCACGGCCCGTGCGCTTCGCTCTCCGCTCTCCCCGTCTCCCCAGAGAAGCAGCCCAAGGAGCCATGTCCCGGGCAACGGAGAGTCTCCTGAACGCTTCTTTTCGCTCTTGTCTCTCTTACAGCTGCAGTGCCGTGGCTCCGTGAGCAAAGCCTGGGTGCCTGAGCCGCCACCGTGGTAGCGGAGTGCAAACTGCAGAGCCGCCGATCACCTACAGAGACGGAGCGAACATGTGTGCGTGTGTGTGCGCGTGCGGAGGAAGGAGGGCCACCTGTTTGCGTGTGCATGCGTCTGTGTACACTCGTGTGTCTCTGAACGCTGTCTGGGCTGGAGGAGGACAGGTAGCACCTTCACCTCAGCCTCCAGACCCCGGACTAGAGGTCACGGTGGTAGCGGTGCCCCCACACCTGTCCCTGGGGGCCTGCTGCCTCGTCTGCCTAGAAGGGTGGTCAGACCTTAGGTGGGATTCTGACACCTGCTCCCCTTCCTCCTCCCCCCCCCCCAAGTCAGACTGAGGAGCAGGGGGAAACATCTCTGGCTCTTGTGCAGAGTGTGGGATTCTCGAGGCAGCCAGGGACCTCTGAGTTCCTGCTTTATGACCCCGGGGGCTGGGCAGGCTTGGGGGGACAGGTGCTGCCCCGACAGTCACCTGGCCTGGCTGCTGCTTTTAAAATTCCCTGCCACTGGATCCCCCAAACTCTTCCTGGGGGAGCTGGGGCTGAGCTGTGAGCAGATCTGCAGCCTTTCTGCCTCATAGAGAAGTGCACCAGGGACATGACCGCGGTGCTGGGTGTGCAGTGTGACGGGTAACAGCAGAGGAGCATCTCACCCTTCGGGGCTGAAAACCTGAGGCTAGGAGTTAATCCCTGCTCTCGCTGCTCCTTCTCCGTCAGAGTGGACTGGAGACCCAGAGCCTCCGGCAGGAGGAGGCCAGGTTCCTGGTGGTGGAGGGCCCCCTGACTCCCCTGGCCACACTCCACGGCACCTCAGTCCTGCCCCCGAGGTCAGCTGACACCAGCCAGGGAAGCCGTTATCATCTGCACCCTGTCGGCCTCCACTGCCTGCCCGGGGCTGATCAGCCCGCCCAGTAGCTGGACATCAAGGGCCCAGGCAGGTGCACAGCCAGGGACAGTTGGTAAGGGTCCTAGCCGAGGTCCCGCCCGGCACGCCAACCCTTCTGGAAGCAGCAGGTGGGGCGTTTGACCCAGAGAAGCCAAGGGCTTGCAATCCAGGGGCAGCCGGTGCTCCCGCCTAACCCTCCCACTGCTGGAGGTCTGCTGAGGAGGACCCCACAGAAAGGAGGACTGTGCCACTGGCTGGAGCACGTCTTCCTCCCACCCGTGGCCTGCATTCGAGCCACAGCGTGTACGTGCGCAGGAGTGTGTGCAGGTGTGTGTGTGGCTGAGAGACCAACCCCTCTTGGGACTTTTGTCCTCACACGTCGCATTAAGCTGGCCCTGGGCCTTCTCCTCTCCACCTCCCCCATGACCTTGCCCCAGCCCTGCCCTCCTCTCCTCTGTCCTGGGACCCGAAGCCTGGGTCAGGCCCCTGCCTCCTGCATCTGTCCAGCACCTTGACAGGCTTCCCCCTGAGATGTCCTCAGACTTCCTCAGCCGGAGAGCTGCCTTTAGAGTCCAGCTGTTGCGTCTGTGTCACCTCCCAAGAAATGTCCTGTAATCATATGGGGGAAAGAGGGCTTTTCTGCAGTGTTGGGCTGGGGGCTTCACTGCTGGCTTAGTCCTGGCCAGGAGGAGAGAGGATTGGGGGCTGTCATCGGAAGGAGGGGAGAGCAAGCCTGGAAAGGCTGACCGGGGAAATGGACCTCCAGAGGGCTCAGGGCCAGAGTGGGTGTTCGTCTGACGGCACCTCGGACGGCAGGATGATTCCCTTTGCCTGCCTTTTTGATGATGGGTCTCTTCCCTAAGGTGCACATTGGCAGGACCACCTCCCCCTACTTACCCACCATGCCTGGCGTGCTGGCCCTTTCCCAGTGGACTGGAAATGAGGAGGGGGGTATCCAGTGGCCTGGAGCTCTGTGATGGCTCCGTGTCTGCCCTCTGCCGGCCCAGGTGTCCCTGGGGGCTCCTGCAGAGCAATACCCCAATCCCGATCCGAGGGCCAGCGTGCGGAGGAGACAGTCTCAGGCCAAATGCACTTTGTACAGAGATTGTGTATTGCTGGGAAGGTGTGTTTCTCCCACAGTTTGTGTATGAATATTCATGTGTTTCATAAATGTCTGATCCTGTCTGAGCAAAGTTGTAATGTCAGTTTTGTGGGAGGTCTGGGGACTCGGCGGCAGTAGGGTTGGACTGAATGAACCAGGAGCTTCTCGCCCACCTTGGAGGTGGCAGGGAGAGTGGGTGGGAGATGGAGGACCAGCGAGGTTCCTAGTTGAGCAGCTGGAGCAATTAGTGGTCTCGACTCCAGAGCTTGGTCAGAATTGGAGGTCAGCCAGCCAGAATGGTGGCGAGCGTGCCAGGCCTGGGGTGAGGTTCCTGCAGTGACCCAGCCCCTCAGCCCACTTCAGCGCCCCGGCCTGGGGATCAGTGGATGGCAGGGCCCTCTGCAGGCTCTCCGTCCGTTCTCACCTTCACTCAGGCATGAGAGCTGCAGCTGCCTGGTGCAGAGGAGAGCCAAGCCCAGAGCCTGGATGCGGACTTTTGTCTGGGCCTTTCTCTACTGTGCGAGTGTTTCCAGTTTTGGACCGCTGGACATGAGAGCTTTATTAGCCCGCATCCCACATTCCTGTGAGAAGGGGTTCAGACCAGGCCAACAATATCACAAGCTGCCTTGCACAGAGAAAGGGGGAGAGGAAGAACCTGACCCTGGGACTCGTCTGGTTCTCGGCTCTGCTTTGAAGCTCCTGATGGCTGAGACTTGGGCCTGGCCTTCCCTCTCCTGCCTTCTCCTGCCTTCTCTCTAATATGGCTTTGCTTTGGCCTTGGGAGCTAATATACCTTTGCTCTCGAGCAGAAGATTCTGGAAGGTGGAGTTGTCCTACGCGCACACACATTCCTGACCTGAGATGCTCCCTAGTGGAGAAGCACACACAGTAAGGAACAATTATTAGCCACTGTGGCAGAACTGCTTTCCTGGGAGGGAAAGTCAGCACCGTAGCAGCAAGGGGTTACCTCTTGAGCCTAGTGGAAGGAGCCTGAGCCAAGACAGGAAAGATGACGTGTCCCCTCTGGGCCCAGGAACAGGGAGGAGAGGCAGCCAAGGCCCTCGGCTCTCGGCATTGAGATATCCTCAGAACTGGAGCTCGGGGTGGTTTACTGCAGGGCAGGTGCCCACTGCCCGTTTCTGGGCACTACGCTGTAGGCACAACCAGTGTGCAGTCTAGGATTGCACATAGGGTTCCGCACCTGTGAAACAGTTTGCCTCTTCAGAAGGACAGGACCTCTGTGGTTCTCTCAACTGGCCAGAGAGGCCAGTGAGATTTGGCAGAGGCTCTATGACCCACCAGAGCTGGGGACCTAGCCGTGCCCAGAAGTGCATGTGCTGTGAGACAGCGCACAGGCTTAATCCTCTTAGGGGAGGTAAGTCCAGGAGGAACCTGGACCCAGAGTGCAGGGCAGAGGCACTGGAGGGAGCCAGAAGACCGTCAAAAGAGCCCCAAGGAGTCAGCCGTAGGGGCAGGAGGAAAGGCCGCAAGTCTCAGAATGTGAGAAGCCGGCTATGGGGTGTCTGCGTGCGAAAGGGGGTGCTCTGCAGGAAGTCCATCTGAGGTGCTAAGTGAGGAGAAGGAGATGTCAAACTCCTGACGTGGAGGAGAAGATGAGAGAAGCCAAAGGGAAGGGCCCAACTCACCGTTAGAGCGCTCGGGGCTGGAAGAGGCTGAAATCACTCTTTAGAGAGGAGGCCCTCGGGAGGGTCTGGGCTGGGGCGGGGTGTCCCCTCAAGGGGTGAGCCCCGGTTCCCAGCTGGAGTTGGGTGTTCCCAGTCTCCAGTGCCAACATTTGTGTTACATTTCATCCTCACGACCGTGAAATGGACCATTATCGTCCCCATTTCACAGATGAAAAAAAAAAACAAACCAAACCTTAGGACTGTCACTAATGCAAAGTTACACCACCTATTCTCTCGGAGAGGCGGGCTATGACTTCACACCACCTCACTCCAAAAATCTGTCGGCCCTAGGAGCCAGCTCCCAACACCCGCAGGTGTTTCTCTGCCTTCCTCCAAGGCTCTCCTTTCCTGACTGCCTTCTTTGTCTGCAGCGAGGGGGTCAAGTCGGGTCCTAGGAACCAAGATCCCGCCATTAGTTACCCCATACCCGGGCGCTATGCCCACCCCAGGAACAGAGCCCGCAGGGGAACGGAGGGCTTTGCGCAAGGGGAAACTGTTAATACTGCGTGGGATTGAGCTCGGGGCGGGGCCAAACTCGGGGACCGCGGGGCTGAGACTTCAGCACCTTGGAAAGCGCCGAGGGGCGGGGCTCCCGGGTAAGGGGCGGGGCGGGGCGGGGCGGGGCGTACCCAAGCTCTGCCGAGGGCCCGGGAGCGCGCTCGGAGGCGCTCGCGCCAGTCCCCAGAGCGGCGCGCGGTCTGGAACCGCGCCCTGCCCTGCGCAGGTGCGCCCGCCGCGCAGTTCCCAGCCGATCCCCGCGGCGGCGGCCTCTCGCCGCGCCCGCGCCTCCTTCCCCGCCGCCGCCGCCGCCGCCGCCTCCGCCTCCGCGCCGCGCTCCGCCCGGATGGCCAGGGCTGTGCGGGAGAATGGCGGAGCGAGAGAGCGGCGGCCTGGGCGGGGGTGCCGCGTCCCCGCCTGCCGCCTCCCCGTTCCTGGGGCTGCACATCGCGTCGCCGCCCAATTTCAGGTGAGGCTCTCCGGCCGCCGCGCCCCACCCTTCAGCCTAAATCGATCAGCCCGGGCTCCCCCCGCATCTGCCCCGCAACACACACTCGTGGGAAACCGCAGAACGAGAGGGCGGCGTGGGGATGGGGTCTCTTCCCGAATCCCCGTCAGCCTCAAGTCTACACTCGTGGCCGATGCATATCCGCGGTGCGGCTCTCTCCGCCATTCCGTGTCCGAGGCGAGGCGATCCTGAGCTGGAACTGGAGGAGGGGGCGCGGAGGCCGCCTTCTCCCCGACTTTGGAGCTGCGGCGGGGCCTGGGGTCCGCGTTGAGATCCCGCAGGAGGCAGGAAGCCTGGGGCTTTGCCTGCGCCCAGTCGGAAGGCTCCTGAATAGAGGATGGCACCAGGTCGGGGTGCCCACGGGTCCGTTTCTTGGGGCGACCGACAGCCTTGGTGCTGGAGAGAGAGTCGCAGGCCCCTCCCCCAGCCCTGCCTGGCCAGAGGGGCCCAACTCCTAGGCCTGGCGTGGCCAGGACCTTCCGTGGATTGGGACAAACACTGACCTGGTCCGGTGCGTGTAGGTACGGAACATAGGCTCAGCCTCAACCCGCGAGATCGAGGCCTGGCTGTGGGAGAGGGAGTCTGGGTTGGAGCCCTCAGGAGTAGCCGGGGATATTGGTGGGGTGGGTGCTGCCGGGGTGAGCACCGGGTACCCTGATCTAGCTCCTCCTTCAGCTCTCTCCCTGCCCCCAGTCTGGTCTTAGGCAACTGGGAGGTGGATTTCAGAGAGGTGGCAGTGGGTGTTGTGGGGTTTGGGATGGACGTCCCTCCGTCCTCATCCTGGCTGATTGGAGAGGAAGGAGAGGAGGGGTTACAGCTCCAGAGCCCCCAGAAAGAGGCCTCCATTCCCCATTGTTCCTCCTTGTAATGAGCTGGCGCCTGCCCCTCTCCCGGGGCCCCCAGCCCCGCCGGGCCCCAGCTGGGCTCTGGCGCCAGCCCCTCTTCTTGACCAGGGGCTTGCTGGCTCCCCAGCCCTCAGGTGGGCAGGGACCTCCAGGGACGCTAATGGCATCATCATCAGGACTAGAAATCTCCCAGAAGGCCCCAAGCTGAGCTGCCAAAGACCAGATGGAGGAGGCCGGGCTCCAGGGCTGGGGGCTTTGTGGTTCCGGCCTCAGAGTGAGGAGGCCGAGGTCTGAGACTCACTGTACCCGACGTGGACTGCTCTGCCTTCACACCAATGCCTCCCTCCTTCCAGGAGGCCCCTCTGGTGGGAGAGCACAGCCCTCGGACAGACGTGGATGCGAATCCTGGCTCCACTAACTTTCTAGCTGCCTGGCCTGGGCAGCGCTCTGGTCTTTCCTGAGTCTCATCTGTTGATGAGCTAATTCACATTGATTCCTTAATGTGCATCACGTTGGCGCTCAACAAGTGTCATCCTCCACACCGGCGGGCGTTGAGAAGGCTCATTCCTGCTCCGGGCCTGCTCCCCGGGCTGGCCGAGGTCTCCCTCCCCACCACTCAGGGCGTCAGGATGGACCTACCCATTTTGTAGATGAGGAGACTGAGGTTCAGGAAGGTGGGTGGCTTCCCCGAGGGCAGTCAGGGCCTGAGCTGCGTGTTCAGTCCACTCTACCTTCAGGCCCTGCCTCTGGCCCGGAGGACAGCTTGGCCTCCCCGGGGGAGAGCGCTTTCCATCCCTCCCTGTCCCCGGCGGGCAGGTTATCCTGGACGCCTGAGTGACAGTGACTGGTAAGGAGGGCCCGCCAGTGAGTGTGGCCAGCCCTGGGCCCGCTGGGTGAGTGTGGCACCACGCCAAGGCGGAGAGTGGGTTGGCCCTCCAGGACCCCAGGGCCTGGATGTGGAGATGTGAACAGTAAGGCCAGTGTCTCCGGCCCGAGGCCTGCCCTGCCGGCTCCGGCAGCCCCCGCTGCCCTTTCCCTGTCCGCCTCTCACAGTTCTTAGCTCAGCCGGTGGAGCCTGGGTGGGGCTGCCCCTGTGGCTCTGGCCTGGCTTTGAATCCTGGCTCCATCCTCTTAGCCGCGTGCTCAGAGTGGGTGCTGAATGCCTTGAGCCGGTCTTTTCTCCACGATGCCTACTTTGGTCCCTGCTCAGGGCGGCCCTAAGACTTGGATAAAACAATACATGTTGAGTGTTTCAAGGGCTGTGAAGAGCTATATTCACGTAGAGCTGTTCTTGTGGGTATTATTTTGTGTGTGTGTGCACACGTGTATGTGCATGCGTGCATGTGTGTGTGCACATATGCATGCGTGTGACCCAGCACCACTGTCTACTTCCAGAAGGCACAAGAATACCTAAACTTAGGTTTGCCCGAAGCCCGGCACAGAGTAGGTGTGCAGTAAGGCGTTAGGGGTTTATTATTTAATTGGGGATGCAATTGGAGAGTTCCAAGGAGAAGAACGCTGGAAACCCTGCCACTTGGGAGGCCTTTGCTTTGCCCAGTCACCATTCTAAGCACTTTTTGTGCAAGGGCGCCTAGTCCTACCCAGAACCACATAAACAGAATCTTGTCATTATCCCCACTTTGCAGATGAAGGAACTGAGATGGGAAGAGGTTAGATAAGTGGCAGAGGTCGCGTTCGGAGCCACCCTGGAAATAGAGGAGAGTTTGTGGAGAGGGACATGTGGTGTGGATCTGAGGAGGGCGAGCATTTGTTTGTTGAGAGTTGGTGTAAATAAACTTTGTTTTTTCTGATTCTAGAAACGCTCCAACCAGTTACTAGTAATTACCTTTGACTCTGGTGTGGGAGAGGGATTTTCATTTATTTCACAAACTTCTGTATTCTTTGAGTTCTTATTTTTACCATAAGCATAAGTTACTTCTGTCACCTAGAAAAGAATAAAAGAAAATTGGACGGTAAAGTGATACATGTTCATTTTAAGGAAATTCTGTGAGAGAATTTAGAAGCTTAGCTGCAGACTCCTTGAGCTCGATGGTAGGAGGAAGAGAGGGGAGACAGTGGCACAGTCCGCGTGAGAGGTTCGTGGGGAGTCCAGTGAGCGGCCGCCCGGGGTGTGCCGGAGGCGGCGTGGAGGAGGGGACCTTGGAGACCAGCTCGTCCGGCACCCCCCTTCCTTAGGGGGAGACAAGAGAGGCTGAGCGGGTTCTGGAGCACACACAGCAAGCTGCAGTGGAGCTGGGGCGGCACCGGGTCTCAGGACTCCTTGGACACGGTGGTCATGTTCTGGCTCCCATGCTGCCTGGGGGGGCGGGAGCCCAGGGCCCCTTACTCATCTCTTCACAGGGTTCTGTGCACTCAGTGAGAACTTGCGGGAATTCCCAGTGGTTAGGATTCCACACTGGCACCACCGAGGGCCTGGGTTCGATCCCTGCTCAGGGAACTAAAATCCTATAAGCTCTGCCACCCGGCTCTCCACCTCACCCCCAAAAAACCCAAGTACTTGCACTCAGCCGGGCTCACTGCGACACTCCAGAGGCACAGATGAGGGCCTGGCCTGTCGTGCGGGCGGCGACATGGTCTATGTGGTCGGACAGACAGGGGGAAGGTGAGCTGGTGACTTGGGTCAGGGGCCTGGAGGGGCCCTGGGTCAGGGCCGGGTCAGCTCAGCGCAGGCCTGGGGGGCGAGTGGGGCGTCACCCAGGAGGAGGGGTGAAGAGGGAGGGGGCTGACAGGGCCTGTGACTCCCAGGCTGGCCCAAGCGCGGGGACCGGGAGGCCGGGCGGCCACTGGGAGACCGGCCGTCATGCGGGTGTGGACGGGGCTCAGGGGAGGGGCATTTGGAGGGTCGATTAGCCCACCTGGGAGGGAGCCAGGGGAGGTGGGAGGGGAGAGAGGCGTCTGGGATGAGGCCGGTCCCGAGGAAGGGGGTGCCCCGTGGGAGACGAGAGGCTTGGCAGGCGGGGTGATGACGTCACTTGAGGCTGAGGCTGAGGTTGCTGATCGTGGGGGGACCCAGTTAGAGGGTTCAAGCAGGCAGCTGGTCTGGGGTCTGGAGCTCAAAGGGGAGGATGGGGCTGGGGCCACAGACCCTGGGAGTCTCCACTCGGAGAGCGGGCAATGGCCTGAAGCCTCAGGAGGAACGTCGTACCTGGGGGGGACAGAGTGAAGGGAGAGGCCGGGAACCAGCCACATTTGGGGGGCAGGGAAAAGCTGCTGCTCTTGGGGCCAGCCCAGCCCGGGCCCTGGGCAGCGCCCCCAGACAGCTGCGATGAGCCTCCAGTACAGGAGACGGAACGTGGACTCTCCTCACGCAGACGGCTGTGGCCAAGGCAGGATTTCACCCCCAGTGACTGGATGTCAGAGGTTGAGCCCCTGGCCCCGACCCCCCTCTAGGCGCTCTTGCGTCCAGGGCGCCGTCTCTGCACCTGGCCCTGCTCTTGGATTCAGTCAAGAAATCTCTAGGCACATCCACCGTGGGCCTTACCCGGCCCCAGGGACTCAGGCAGGGCCCAGGGCCTGGGTCCACTAGCGCTGCTTCTAACAAGCATTTATTTAGTACCTGCAGTATACGGGGCCCTGGGCTTCACGTGCGGAGCAGAGCAAAGGTGGGAGTCAGTTACCTCGGAAGCCCGGCTCTATGAGGGGCAGCTGCTGGGGGGTGTGAGCCAGAGTGGACTTGAGAAGACCCCCCAGATCCCACCGTGTCCCACGGCTGTGTTTGTGTCAAGGTCTCTTCTGCGTGTGAGTCATCACGTGTAGCCATAATGTGACACGTTCTGTCTTCTTATTGTATTAGTTCCCATTTTCAACATTAACGCACAGACTTTATAACGTTCACCCCAAAGAGCGAGCAATGCTCCCTCCGCTGGAGGACCCCGCATGCCAGACTCGGCGGTGGTTTCCATGATGAGGACACACACCCTTGTGTAGAAAGGCTTTTCCAAGGTTGGGATGGTTTCCAAAGGATAGTTTCCCAATAGTTGAGTCACCAGATCCCGGAGTTCTTGCTCTGTATCAGCACCAAAGTATTTGAACAGCTTAGATGCTTGCTAACCCCAAGTAGCGGCTTCCCGGGTGGCGCTAGTGGTGAAGAACCAG